GGTTCAGAGTTTTTCCTGTATTTTAATGTTCTGCCTGCTTTTGCTCATTATTGTAATCACATACAACTTTATACCTCTATTGCTTGAAGAGATTTCACAAAAAATAATTTTAATAAATGTCATGTGCAATATATTTGCATGAACTGCCTCATGAATTTGAAATTCCAGAAGCTATAACTCTGTTAACTGAAATGCTTTAACCTGGATCTCAGTATGTGAAAAATCATTTAAGGCCAAATTGACTTCAACATAAAACTCTTTGAAAATAGCCTAAAGTAATGGTGAGTTCTGGAACTAGTGCCAAAACATTATTCCTTCCGTGTCTTCAAAAAAAAAGCTGTGGCTTTTTGTTTATGTATGTGTATATGACACATACTACCAAAGAAAAACAAAATTTTAAATATTAAAGACATTCAAAGTAATAAAGACAAAAGACAATTAAACACCTAATCTCTTTGAACTACATGTGAGTCATGGACTTTCTCATCCATAAAGGTGCAATGTGGGCTTCCACCTAGAACAGGAAGAGAAGTATGACTAAAGAGATACCCCTACTACAAAGAAGAGACATTGATACCTTAGAGCAGGGGTTGGCAAACTAAGGCCTGAGGGCCAAATCAGGCCCACAGCCTGTTTTTGTAAATAAAGTTTTATTGGAACACCACACTCAATAGCTTATGTATTATCTATGGTTGCTTTCACGCTACCACAGCAGAGTTGAGTAGTTGCAACAGAGACCATCTGGCCTGCAAAGCTAAAAAATATTTGCTATCTGGCCATTTATAAAAAAATGTTGCCAGCCCCTGTACACTTAGTGTGCTTCCTAAAAAGAAAGAGACAAGATTTAGCAATCCTGGAGACTTGAGATGTTGAAAATCAAATTACTAACATCACCTTTAGTGGGAAAGAAAGGTTTAGAGTATAATCCTCAGTTTATCAGAGGATTCCACTGTTCTACTTATAATATTTTGGAGTACTAAATAAGGAGTATTTTGACATTTTTCCTTATGACTACGGATTGTGTGCATAAATTATATATTTGGCAATGTATGTTTTACTAAAAATTTGATTAGAGATGTATAGTATAGATAAATAGATGTACGGATATACAGCAAAGAAAGCAGACACGAGAAATACTTGGCATAAACTGATGGCTGAGGTAGTAGCAAGAAAAGTGATCTGAAATATCAAGTTAGAACCACTGAACAATGCAGGATCCCAGAGAATAGCCAAGATGGCACACTCTCAGAAAAGCCCCCACCTTGTTAGAGTCTGGGACCATCAGTCCATACTTCTGACAACCCCTTTATTTATTGCTACCACACAAACATGAGGGGAGAAACATTTTTTTAGAAGGAAGGAACAGCTCTCCCAGCTGCTTCCATCACAGGATTTCTTGCATCTCAGCAGACCATGCTTTCATCTATCTGGGAGTCCCAGAAAGCTCAGCATCATTGGAAGCTACACTTTTATTCTCCCTCTTCATGGCTCCTTCTTTTGTACCCTGGGTTGAGTAAAAATAATAAATCACCTTTGAAATAACTCTGACTTTGTGCTTGTTAGTAAATCGCCTTAGGACACAACTGTATGCTTTGGAGAACCAGAAAAGGAAACTTAATTAAGGTTTGGAATTTCAAACCCAACACACGGTTCTCTAATTCTTTCCCACTGACTACCATGAAACACATTATTATTTTTATGGTAGCATTCACAATGTACTTGACAGTTTCTAGAGCAACTTCATATTGCCCTAATCTACTAACAGTCACTTTAATGAGCACAGCATTCTCACCACCAGATCAGGTCATGCGACCTGTACTTTGCAGAGTGGGAAACAGAGGCCCTGCACAGTTCAATTACATTCGAAATATTGCACAAGTCAGTACCAAATAAAACTGATTTGACTCGTAATTCAGGACTCTTTTACTATGTCATGAAGCCTCCCGGGAGTCCAGAAAAACAAACTGCCAGAAACTGATGGTTTGAGCATGCATCGTGCTATGTATGGACTGAATTTCGTTCCCCTCAAATCCATATGATGAAGCCCTAGCCCCCCAGTGTAACTGTATTTGGAGATAGGGCCTCTACGAAGGTAATTAAGGTTTAAAAGAGGTCATAAGGGTGGGTGCTATGAAAGGATTAGTGTTCTTGTAAGAAGAGACAGCAGGCCGAGTGCGGTGGCTATTGCCTGCAATCCCAGCACTTCGGGAGGTGGAGGAGGGAGAATCACTTGAGCCCAGGAGTTCAAGACCAACCTGGGAATCATAGTGAGACCCCATCTCCACAAAAAATAAGAAAAATTAGCCGTGTGTGGTGGTGTGCACCTGTAGTCCCAGCTGTTGGGAGGCTGAGGCAGGAGGATTGCTTGAGCTTCGGAGTTTGAGGCTGCAGTAAGCTATTACCAGACCACTGCACTCTAAGCTGGGTAACAGAGTGAGAAACCCTGTGTCTTTAAAAAAACAAAAAAGGAAGAGACAGCAGAGAGTGTTTACTCCCTCTCTCTCTCTCCATCAGGTGAGGACACAGCTAGAAGACCCAGGGAAAGAGCCCCCACCAGGAACCAAGCCAGCCACACCTTGATCTTAGACTTTCCAGCCTCCAGAACTGAGAGCTATAAATTTCTGTTGTTTAAGCAATCTGTGGCATTTTGTTATGGCAGCTTGAGCAAATTAAGACAAATTGCTAAGATTAACATTAAGGTGAGGAAATTTCTGGAAAAAATAGCATTTTTGACTACAGTAAAATCTAAGTGGATAATAATATAAACTCAAAATACTAGCAAAATAAAAAAGGAAAAGAGGTAAAATTTCTTCTTGTAATTGCTCCAAAACCATCTATCTAGACATACAGCTATGAAGACAGACAATGTCAAAATAGATGATGGTGAGTCAAGTGTCTCTAAAGTAGACACGGTGTTGGGACTCAGCTGCTGGAACAGGAATGTTTATGTTGTTTAAACCTCCTAAGCCAACTCCATGAGCTGTACTTAAAGAAGAAAATAAGCAGTCCCACAAGCGGACATCTGGGAGCTGGCCTGGTACTATTTAATATTACCGCGTCCTCCTGTTGGACATAACAAATTTCATAGAACATCAATATCTGACAAGGCCACTCTGTGATCGTGATGGATCAGGACAAAAAAAGAGAGAGAATTTAATAACCATGTCCATAAAAAGTTGTTGAAGGTATTTGTCCTTTTTGTCTGTCTAGCACTCCTTCTACCTCCTCTTTCCCTTTTTTTTTTTTTTTTTTTTGGTTTTTTTGAGACAAGGTCTCACTCTGACGCCCATGCTAGAGTGCAGTGGCATCATCATAGCTCACAACAACCTCAAACTCCTGGGCTCAAGCGATCCTCCTGCCTCAGCCTCCCTAGCAGCTGGGACTACAGGCCCACACCCCCATGCCTGGCTGATTTTTTCTATTTTTAATAGAGATGAGGTCTCACTCTTGCTGAGGCTGGTCTCGAACTCCTTGGCCTCAAGCGATTCTCCTGCCTTGTCCTCTCAAAGTGCTATGATTACAGGTATGAGCACACACAAAATATGAGCATTGGCCAAGCCACAAAAGGCTCGACATCCCCTTTCTTGGCTAATTTGAGCAACTGCTTCTGTTTTACCAGTTACGGCTTTAGCCTCAGTCTGGCCTGCCTACCTCTGGATGTGAATTACTGTGTTGAGATTCATGATCATAGTTAACCCTGCTTCCTCCTGACGGCATCTGATCCAGAGCAAAGCTTCCTAAAATCCTCCCCCAAATCACCCAGCACATGGCCAAATCCTTTCAGTTCTTTCCAACACCCACTGACCGAGACCCTCCATTGTCCATTGTCTCCCCACGAGGAGTAATGACCCCAACGTGTTCAGCTGCGGCTGTGTTCATAGTCTTGGCTGCAGGGCACTGATGGGGTAGCTGAATGATGCGGCCCTGACTTGCACGTCCTCATTTTGTTTGTCTTAGGAGACTCCCTGGGAACCTATTTTAAAACTAATAAAGCTCAGAATTCTAAAATTGACAATTTCGTTGTCAGGTTTTGTTCAGTTTTTTCTTTTGTTTTAAAGTGAAAAATCAGACTCAAATCTACCAAGGGAATGCATCACACTGAATTTTAAACAGCCAGGAGGCTCTTCCTGAGTCAATAGCAACGTCCTCTAATGGCTGTATTTCATCTCAGAGGTATGAATCTGACTAACAAATTAAATGACATCAAATGTGAGTTTTTGTATTAATGCCATTGTTGAAGGAATTTGTCATTTTTGTCTGTCCAGCACTCCTTCTATCTCCTCTTTCCCTTTCTTTCTTTTTCTTTTTTTGTTTTGTTTTGGTTTTTTTGAGACAAGGTCTTGCTCTGTCACACAGGCTGGAGTGCATTGGCATCATCATAGCTCACTGCAACCTCTAACTCCTGGGCTCAAGCGATCCTCCTGCCTCAGCCTCCCTAGTAGTTGGGACTACAGGCATACAACACATGGCCAGCTAATTTTTCTATTTTTAATAGAGATGAGGTCTCGCTCTTGCTGAGGCTGGTCTCGAACTCCTTGGCCTCAAGCGATAGTCCCACCTCAGCCTCTCAAAGTGCTATGATTACAGGTGTGAGCCACCATGCCTGGCCCACTCTTCCCCTTCTCTGGCTAACAGAACCTTGCTTTCCTACAGGTAACATTGATGGTGGTTTTTACGAGTTAATGCACTACAACACCACTCATTTCACCAGCAAAAAATCATTTATCATTATGCTAATTTATGAATCCACCTCTGGACTGGAAACTCCTGTCTAAGGTCATCTAAACGCTAACCATCCTTGAAGCACGGGTTTCTGATTAGGGGCTTCGAATGCTATCTAACCATCTCTACGGTGTAGACTAAAATTAATTTATATTTGCATACATCACATTGTTCACACAGAGAATAAGTCACCACCAAACCTTAATCTTATTGAAAAACAGATAAATCTGACATAGTATGTAGAAAATTTTTCATCTATTCTGAATCTTTGAACATACCACAAAGATGGGATCATTGGCAGCTGAATGTGGCAAAGCGCTTGTCCCGTTCAGGAAGGAATGAACCAAATTATGAAGGCTCCTCACTTGAGAGTCCAGGGTCCCGTCTGCTTTATCGAAACCTTCCAGGGCATTCCTGGGAGAAACCAATGCGTCAGTGACAACAGGCAAAGATTAATAAAGGTCTTTTTTTGTTTCCAGCCTAGATGATAGTCTTCCAATTTGAGATTGGGTAAGGATATGAGAAGCTCTGTCATAGCTAATAAACTGAGAATCAGTCCCAACTTTTAATGATCATCCTCTATAAGAGGAGCAAATTTTTTTTTTTAAAGAGACATTGTGGGTCTCACTGTGCCACCCTGCAGACTAGAGCACAGTGGTGCAATCACAGCTCTCTGCAACCTCAAACTCCTGGGCTCCAGTGCTCCTCCTGCCTCAGCTTCTCAAGCAGCTGCTACTACAGTTGTGTGCCACCACGCCCGGCTAATTTTTTAGTTTTTTGTAGAAATGGGGTCTCACTACATTGCCCAGGCTGGTCTCCAATCCCTGGGCTCAAGCAATCCTCCTGCCTCAGCCTCTCAAAGGGCTAGAATTACAAATGTGAGCCACCACACCCAGTCAAGGGGAAGGAACTCGTAATCAATGCTATTTCTGTACCTGCTCAGTTGAATTATATCTCTCGTTTTACTGTAGGACAATTATTTACCTTCTTATCTGTCTTTCTTGCCCTTAGAGAGCTGGGTCTATGTTTTTCTCAGATTTTTTGTTGCCAGGGCTAGTACCATGCCCAGCACATGGTCTATGATCAATTCACGGTTTTTGATTTAACGTATAATCTTATATGCCTATTTCTCAACTAAATAGACCTTCAGCTTGACTGAAGTGTATACAGCATTCTAAACATATCTCCAACCTCCCCTTATCCTTCTCTCTTTCTCCCTCCCCAGTTTCAGGAAATTCTAATTATGAATGCTCTAACTTGGTGATCCTCCAATTTCAGAATCACTGAAGAAAAATAGATATTTCATGCCCGACTCTCAGAGTGTCTGATTCAGTAGGTGCAGGCTGGGTCTTCACGATTTGCATTTCTAATCAAATCTCAAATGTTGTCAGTTATGGTGGTCTTGGCACCATATTTTAAGAACTACTCCCCTAACTCAAATCTATAGGGAATGCAATCTGTTTTAATAGCATTTTTGTCATAACAAAAAACTAATGCATATTGCTTTTCAAAATAATCTTAAATTTTACCCTTTACCTACCTTTGACACTGCTCCGAGGCCTGTGTCCAATCCCAGGACAAACTCTGAGACCTGCTGCACTTAGCACAACCTCTACATTTGCGTTCAGCCTATCCTGCTCCTAGCCCCATACAAATTGCATAATTTATACACAGAGAGAAAATCCAGTCTTGGAGAAGACCATGAATCTATCTACCACTCCTTTTTGGAAGCCCTATCCATCTTTGTTTAAAATCTTATTTATATACATATTTCTCATCATTCGTAAAGTCTTTTTTGGTGTTAGAAAACTAATAGTTGGTCTTTAAATTTTTTAAATATTGTAATGTCACTGCAATGCTATAATTTGAGTTGGCTTTAGTCCTCAATAATCCTCTGAGACCTCAGACCCCAATATTAAGGTCTATGGCTGATAAATTTCTAATGAAACATTAAAAAATAAGAATGAAAAGAAAAATAAAAAGCATGGGTATTTAAAAACCGCTATATTTAAAAAAGTACCCTGGTTCCACGGATTGTACCTATATATGTGCAGAAATTAGAGATACAGAGGATGGTTTTGACCAGCTAGGTTAGAAGATATTAAAACTACATGGTTAGTTACAATAGATGGATAATGATTTTCCTAACATTAATTCCTTTCTAACCTCTCTTATGAAGTCTCATTCCATTATTTAGCTTTGTATATCCCTCACAAGACCTGGATTTCCTTCCAGTCTGTTACAACCCTAGGTGTGAAAATCTGCAAGTATTCTAAATGCCAGTCCCGCAGAGCTCAGGGCACCCACCTAAAGCTGAAGGTAGAGTTCTGGAAGAAAGGAGGATTGTCAAACTTCTGGAGAGACAGACAATCTTGTATGTCTTTTAAGGTTGGCAATTTCTCACTGTTTCTTCCCACTTGATTTCTTCTCAGCAAACCTTCGTAGGTTCCATTGCACAGGGTGACCCGGCGGTTGTAGTCATCCAAGCTAAGATTCGTAAGAGATTAACAATAGTAGAATAGCGGATAGGACACTAAATTTGGACCAAGCAAATCCATCGAGGTCATAGTCAGGGTAAAATTTTATGACAGTTACCTTACAAGGGGCAAAAACATGCGGTATAAGTACTACCCCCAAAAGTCATGATGGATCAAGACATTTCAAAAATGTAGGTGCACCAAATATGAATACAGGCATAAATATAAATAATGATTACCACTCCACTGGAAAGACATTGAGGAGGTGTACAAAGCAAGATAGTGACGCCGACTGTGTGCATCTGAATGGTGAGTAACCGAAGAGAGAGTAGGGTGGCCCATAGTATGCGGAGCTGGGCCAGTTTTGGCGGAAGTGGTCTGTAAAGCTAGGAAAGCATTTTAGGCAAACAAAGAAGGTCAGAGTAAAAGCGATGGAACCATATAGACGGGAGGTATTAGAAGAAACACTGTGTTGGAAACTGTTCCAAGGCAATAGGGTATCAATAGTCACATGATGAGCACAGAGCTGAGAAGGTGCCATAAAACATTATATCCTACATGCCTGTTGTGGCCCGGAATTCACCACCAGAGCATTATTTCATTGGCAGAGATAAAATTTTAAAGATGTTACTGTGTGGGTTTTAATGGGAGATGGAATATAGAGGATAGGTGAGAATAGAATCGACAGACCCTCGAGGATGAAAGGGGCCAGGACCCAACACTAAGCAAGAAAAGGCCTCCAAGGCTGCCATTTCCAAAGTGTGTCCCAGGGAGATGGGCTGTGAAATAAGAGTTTCAGAGGCCGGGCGTGGTGGCTCACGCCTGTAATCCCAGCACTCTGGGAGGCCGAGGCGGGTGGATCGTTTGAGTTCAGGAGTTCAAGACCAGCTTGAGCAAGAGCGAGATCCCGTCTCTACCAAAAATAGAAAGAAATTAATTGGACAGCTAAAAATATATAGAAAAAAAAATTAGCCAGGTGTGGTGGCACATGCCTGTAGTCCTAGCTACTCGGGAGGCTGAGGTAGTAGGACTGCTTGAGCCCAGGAGTTTGAGGTTGCTGTGAGCTAGCACTCTAGCCTGGGCAACAGAGTGAGACTCTGTCTCAAAAAAAAAAAAAAAAAAAAAATAAGAGTTTCAGGGTCAGATAAGTTTAGGCTCCTCTTGAAGAAGAATAATATGTTTATCTATGGAAGACTCAAAGGCATTCTAAAAATGTTTAAAGACCTTTAAACTCAGTCATCTCTAAATTTATTTGATATCAGAAATCTCTTTTCACAAACCCCCTATTCCTATCCCGAGGCGTGATGGGCAATGGCGCTTTATGGAATTGAGCTAAGTCAGAGAGAAAGCACGGCTGACGTCCCTGTGCGTGGAGCGCTGTTCCCAGGGCTGCAGGGAATGCGAGGATGTGGAAGGCGAGGTGCCCGCTAGCTGGGCCCAGGCCCCTGGAAACACGAGCCGCCGCAGGCAGTGAAGACCCAGGGTGAGCGGGGCTCTGTGTCCAGGAGCACTCTAAGGACCCAGGAGGGGAGAGTAGTGGGGTCAAAAACATGGGGATTTTAGAGAGAAAAAATATGGAATAAAGGAAGGCAGGGGAGCCTCCTACGGAATCTTTTTCTGAGACGTGTGCCAGGAAAGAGAAACAAATCCAAGGTGTCTTTGAAGACAGAGTTCTTCATGGGCTGTGGGCCGCCTACCTGCTCATGTGGTCTTTTGTGGTTCAGAGACCACCCTTCCCTAGTCCCACGCCCCTGTCCTGCTCAACTAACCAGCATCCAGTGGTCCAGCCATCCCAGGCTGTTTCCAGAGACTTTTCCAGTTTCATACATGATGATCCTGCCATCAAGGACTCATCCACCACCCTCTCACTCTCCTCCTCCTCCCCTACAGCTGCCTGAGGTCTGAGGCCCTTTCCATCTCAGAACCACTGTCTCTGCCTCTTGTGGACATGCTCCAATTCTCCTGTCTTTGCACACAGATCTATTATAGCACTTCTCACATTGAATTGTAACTTGTTTGCAAGAACTCTCTCTTTGTTAATACCCAGTGATGTTCAAAAGGGAGGCTCCATTTTATGCATCTTTGTATCCCCAGCAGTATTCCATCACCTAGAATATGGCCGGTGCTTAGCAAATGTTGGCTGAATGCAGGCACTACTCCTAATTTTAAAACAGTTGATCTCAAAATGATGGCCAAGCATATTCAAGTCACAAATGTGATTTTGATACATCTATTTTTTTTGTTAGAGCTTAGAATTTTAAAAATTCCACCTCCCACAGGAAAACTGTTTTCAGAAACATGAAAACAGAACCCCACATGCATTAGAACTAGAACTATAAAGTGACTTCTCCATCTCTCAGACATCAGAAAAGACAGTCTCCGGATACCATTGCAGGTACACAAATGTCCTTACCTGTCACAGACAATTTCCCAGCTGGAGAATCTTGAGTTCTGACTAATCAGAGTCGGATCATCTCCTCTTGCTGCCCCAAATAACTGGTCTGTACACACGTCACACTCGTTCCTCCCGGTGGCAAAGTCCCAGTAGGGCAAAGCAAAGGAGTCATTGCCAATGAGTCGCTAAAAGCAAAGTGCAGACCCAGTCATTTAACTCAAGCCATCAGAAAAAAGAAGAAAGTATACGAGGCCAAGACTGATCTGGGTCTCCAGCAAATGTACAGCAAGATTAAAAGTACCAGATGCATAAATGAAGAAATTGGGATGTGTATAAATATATGTATATGCTGTATGTAATCGAATATTATCCAGCCTTTAAAAAAGGAGATCCTGCCAATCATGGCAACATGGATGAATCTGGAAGGCATGGTGCTAGGTGAAATAAGCAAGATATGGAAAGAAAATTCCTGCATGATCTCACTTATATATGGAATTTAAAAAAAAAGAAAACGAACATACGGAAACAGAGAGTAAAATGGTGGTGGCTACCAGGGGCAAGGAGAAATGGTAGGAAGAAGTAAGTAGGCCAAAAGGTACAAAGTTGCATTTATGTAAATGAATAAGTCTAGAGATCTAATGTACTACATGAGGACTACAGTTAATAATACTGTATTGTATACTGGTAATTTGCCAAAAGAGTAAACTTCCAGTACTCCTTACCACACACAAAGAGATAACTCTGTGTCATGCTGGGTATGTTCATTTGTTTGACTGCAGTAATCGCTTCACTATGTGTATGTATATCAAGATAAGTATATCAAAACATCATGTTGTATACCTTAAATATATACAACAAAATATTTTTTAGCTTAAAAGTACTAACTGTATGGCTTTGACCAACCTGGAGATCTCTTTCCAGCCACAACAAATGGTATCGGTGCCAGGTAACAAAGGCAGGTCCTTGGTGTGAGAAATCTATAGCCTTGTAGGGACGCCCTGGTCCTGAAATAATTGGGAAACATATTAGAGACCACAGCATAGAATTCCTTAAATGTTACACCTTACCTGGGATACATCTACAGAGCCAATAAGTCCGTGACGTTTTAATAAGAAAAAAATTTATTTATTTATCTCTCCAAAAGCAAGAACAATGACAGGAATTTCAGAAGCAACTAGCACTTTTAGCATAAACTCTTCTTCATCTCCCAAAACTTTGATTTCCACAAGAAATCTAGGAAATTCAGGTCACTTTCAGTGTTAAGAGCCCCTTAATTGTTTTAAGCAAAAACTCACGAAGACGAAATAGACTATCCAAAAGAATGGATCATTAAGACCTAAATGAAATATATTTTTAAAAGACATTTTCTAGGCCGGGCACGGTGGCTCACGCCTGTAATCCTAGCTCTCTGGGAGACCGAAGCAGGCGGATTGTTTGAGCTCAGGAGTTCGAAACCAGCCTGAGCAAGAGCGAGACCCTGTCTCTACTAAAAATAGAAAGAAATTAATCAGACAA